CCCTACATAACTGCCCCCAAAGCCTCCAGTGGCCTTCTGATGCCTGGATGTCCATTCTGCATCAGTCCCATTGACACTGCATTTGCTCCTGACGGACCCTGCTGGGAGCTTTCCTCTGTTTGTCTCCAACGCTCTGGACCCTCAGCTGCCATCACCACCTGGGAACCCCGATCGAGTCAAGCTTCACGGAGCGGTGAGATCTCTCTGTAGGCAAAACCTCCCAACCCTGCCTCGTGATCAGGGATGGATCACTTGCCCTGACATTTGGATTCAGATATAACAGTGTAACTGTTTTGTTTCTTAGCATCCCCTTATATGGTTCTTGCATGGAAATATAAAATTTCATGGTTAAGCAGACTGTTTCTCTCTCTGCCTTCCTTTCTCTGCCCCCCTCTTTGGGGTGATGTTTTTGGCTTCCTCATTCACTCTGCAACACCACTCCTTGGACCAACGCTGAAGATCCCCGCGTCTCTCAAGAATCCGGTGGGGTTTGCTCAGCAAGCGGGTTACTACCAGAATGGTCATGGCGTAAAAGTGGAGATCAGGACGTGCTGTACCTGAGAGTATATGAGGGTGGCAGCTTAAAATGCTGTTTAAATGCAGCCCCCTGAGTCCAAAGGCACAAGACGGCCACATGCTGACATTGCTGTAAAACCCACCTACTGGGTACAGGGACATATCAGAGGTAAGCTGTTGAATGCTGATTAACCAGTCCTCTCACATGTGCTCAGTTAGCAGGTGTGAGTATCTGTGCTCCTCTGATTCTAGGGCGGGCAGAACCCAGTTCCGGGAAACCTGGATCCCACAGGAGAGCTCCATTGGGAGGGAACTGGCAGAAGGTAGAAGTCGAACCCCATGTGAGAGCACAAGTAACAAAAGCAGCACATTGACAGAGTTATCACCCCCACCCTCTTCAGAAGTGAAACCCCAATAAACAAGCATACCCCATGGTAACACTTGCTCACAGGACATTTTAGGACACTGAGCTTCCCCTCACTTCCAGGCATTTATGACTCAGTTTCCCTTGTTCCTCACCTCTGCAGATGCCTCCTTCCTCACTAGCTTGGCAATCCGGGACCCACAGCTCTTCCCCTCGTTCCAGCCGGGTGACCAGGTCAGGCTTTGGAACAGGGAATCCTGAGCAGCTCTTACCCAGCGAGGTCACCATCTCATAGTTCTCCCGCATGACATCCCTGTAGAGGGCTCTCTGAGCGGGGCCCAGCAGAGCCCCCTGCCCCTGGGTGAAATACACAGCCACCTCCTCGAAGGTCACCGGCACCTGGAACAGCCAAAGTCCCCCACTCAGCACCGGCTGCCCTACCCCACAATCCCGCGATTATCCCTGTAGAGGGCTCTCTGAGCGGGGCCCAGCAGAGCCCCCTGCCCCTGGGTGAAATACACAGCCACCTCCTCGAAGGTCACCGGCACCTGGAACAGCCAAAGTCCCCCACTCAGCACCGGCTGCCCTACCCCACAATCCCGCGATTCACAGGGGAGGGGCCCACAACAGCGGAATTCCCCCCTCCCGTTCAGAGCAGCCAGGAGGGGGTGGGAGAAGGGGAGAGCTCCTTGCCCCCAGCAGACAGAGCAGGGCAGGAGCTTCTCATTTCCCACATGGCTGCCGGCCACAGGCTGCTCCGGGAAGCAGAGCTCTGAGCTGGGCACAGGGACAGGGACCAGCAGCCTCCGGCCAGTGGGGTCAGGCTCCGCCACTGGGAGTCTGCTCAGCCCTGCCCCGTGGGGTGTGTCCTGGCCCAGCAACAGGGGAACGTCCCCAGCAGCCCTGCCAAGGGGCCTGTCCCGAAAATCTGGCCCAGGCTGCTCATATCCCAGCAGGTGTATCACCCAGTAGCCCTCCCTTCCTCCCTGAGTGTTTCCTGCATCCCCCTCACCCCCCGCAGCTCCCTGAAAATCCCCTACCTGAGCTGGCTCCATCCCAGCCATTCCCAGCCCTGTCTCTGCAAGACGGGATGCTCTGGAGCGAAACGGGGACGCGATTCCTCAGCCTGCCAGGGCAAGAGGGGGAGGTTTCAGAAGGGGTCTGGGTCCATGTCACACCCCGACTCCCCCAGGTTTAGGGAGATTAACTATCAGTTAACTGAATAATCAATTAATCTCATGAATTCTTATCAGTTAGTCGACTATTCTACAGGCCTCGGGGTGGGGCTGGCAGCCAGCACGCTCTCGCCTCAACCACAGCCCACAGGATATGGGCATAGGAGGGACTGAGGTCTCCGACTGGGGATGTGGGGGTCTACAGTGGGGCTGGAGATGAGGAACTAGGGATGCTGGAGGGGCTCCAGGCTGAGGCCAAGGGTTTGCACTGCAGGAGCGGCTGGGGGCAGGAGATGGGAGTGTGGGACCAGGAAGGAGTTAAGGCGCTGGAGGAGGCTCAGGGCAGGAGCTGGCGGAGTGCAGGGTATGGGCAACAACTGGGGTGTCAGAGGAGATCAGGGCTCCCCCAGTCTCCCCTCCTACAACACCCCTCCCTTCCCAGTGCCCCACCCTCAGGGTTTCCCTCCATTGCAGCCTCCTCCATCCGCCCCGTAAATCTTCCGATTCCTCTGCCTCACCCCACCCTCCCTTCAGTGCACCCCTGCTCCCTCCCACCCGCACCCCCTCCTGCCTCACATCCCTGTTCCCCCA